AATACCCTTGGGAAAGATGTGAATCCTCTTTTTCTTCCTCCAGCTATGGGTAAATAGCAGGACAGACTGGGTTCTATAGCCTTGGATGGCAACTGGTCTAAGAGAAGGACAACTCTGAATTCAAAACCTGCTGAGGGTCGTTTGGGGGCCTTGTGGCACGTAGTGCACCAGGTTTCTGTATTCGGTTCTTCAAAAAATGTGGGTGACCCTGCACGAAACCTTCACCACTATCATCAAATCTCATGTGCTGCTACCGGTTCCCTAGGAACTGATCTGCTTGACCTCCATACGCCAAATTCGCCGAGAGTGTATATATATATATATATATATAGTTTTTAAAACGTTTATTTATCACTTTCTTAAAGGTGCCTTTTATTTATCAACTACAAAATTTTATGTAAACAACTGAACGATCATATAACTGGTTAGCATTAGGTTAAATTACCTCCCTTTTAGCTTTAACTTATTTGGAAAGTTGAACGTCAGACTTCGATACATCTTACGAAAAAATTCTATCTTCTATCTGTCCATAAGGAAATTGCCTAAGATTTATTTGCAAACGACTTCGTGTAATGTCCTATAACAAAAAAAAATTACGGTGAGTTTGAATTTAGCGAAGGTCAAATTCGCTTAATTGCTCACAAACCTATTTTTTTAAAGTATTCCGCTTTTTTTAACATATATTTTTTTTAATCTCCTAAAATAAATAATAATTAGCTCTACTCTGTATTAAGCCCTCTTTTAAATTAAATGTTACGTACAGTGGAATTATACTTCATTTGTTCTCATTTTTACCTATATATATATATATATATATATATATATATATATATATTATTCTCATATATATATATATTAAAACAAATTCACATTATAATAAAAAACCTTTGCGGTTCCTCTCTTTAATTATATAAAGAATAAAATATAATATATATATATATATATATATATATATATATATATATATATATATATAAAAACAAATCCAGATTATAACAAAAAGGTCTGCATATATATATATATATATATATATATATATATATATATATATATATATCGACTCCTGTCGCGTTCGACGTATGAGGGTCAGGCCGATAAGTCCCCAGGAAACCGACATCCCGACACCGGCACATGAGATTTGATTATAGTGGTGAAGGCCTCGTGCAGGACCTTCCACACTTTTTGGAGGGACGAATACAGAAACCTGGTGCACCGAATGCATGCCACAAGGTTCCCAAACGACCCTCCACAGTTGCCATCCAAGGCTATATAACCCAGTCTGTTCTGCTATTTTACCCATAGCTGGAGGGAGATGAAGAGGATATATACCTTTCCCAAGGGTATTAGCACGTAAGTGAATGTAATGATTCGACTGGAATTCGAACTCGGCTCTTGGATTCCTCAATCAAGCCGATATATATATATATATATATATATATATATATATATATATATATATATATATATATATATATATATATATATAGATAGAGATAGAAAAGAAAGACAAAGAGAGAAAAACGGAATGAGATATATATGAACAGAGATAGATAGATAGATAGATAGATAGATAGATAGAATAAAAATAATTAGGAGACATTTTAGCAATAGTTAACTTTTATTAAAGCGTTATGAGAGACTGTTATATGAAGAAAAAGAAAAGATATTCTTATATTTCAACCTTGTGTGTGTATTATTAGTATTAGTAGTAGTAGTAGTAGTAGTAGTAGTAGACATTATATTTGATGAGTTTTCGTTTTATGTAGATACCATTTGTTTCAGATAAACATAACTTCAAAAGAATTTGGTGATGTAATGTTTTAGACGTGCGTTTATAGTTAATATAATTTGGCGGGTAGATAGGTGGATATATAATGAACAGATAGATAGATATATAGATAGGAAGGAAGAGACAGATAGATAGATAGATAGATAGATAGATAGATAGATAGATAGATAGATAGGAAGGAAGGAAGAGACTGATAGATAGATAGATAGATAGATAGATAGATAGATAGATAGATAGATAGATAGATAGATAGAAGGTGGGCAAACCTAAAGGCAAACTAAAAGACTGGTGAACATAAGGAGCAGCAAATTAATGGAATATTTCATTTAACTTGACATGCCGGCCCAATTCATTAAGGTCACCGGCCAAGTGAGATTGGCGAAGGTTTTCTTGTTTTTCAGCCTCTCCTCCCGACCCACTTCTCGATGCCTTCACACACGCCGAGGCCACTTTCCAATAAATTTCTGTTGTAAATTCGATTCGCCAGATCAATATTCGTTAGTTAATTACATGAAACACATTTAGTCTTGTCGATCAGGTTGATTGACGGGAAACGAATGGAGATGGGGTGGGGAATCCGTAATCAATATTGATTGAATCAACTGGTAATGGGTGGGTGGGTGATCATCAGGTTTATTGATTGGTTCGTATTGAATAAAGTTCAAGAAGTCAAAAGTATCGTTCGATCTGCGAGAATGTATGAGAAGATATCTATCTATCTATATATATATGTATATATATATATATATATATATATATATATATATATATATATATATATATATATATATATGAACAAACTGAGATACATAGATAAATAAATAGATATGGAAAGACAGATATATTAACTGAGATAGATAGATAGATATATAGATAGATAGAACAACAACTTGAGATAGATAGATAGATAGATAGATAGATAGATAGATAGATAGACAACAACTTGAGATAGATAGATAGATAGATAGATAGATAGATAGATAGAGAACAGAATTAGATAGATAGATAGATAGATAGATAGATAGATAGATAGATAGATAGATAGATAGATAGAAAGAAAGAAAACAACTTGAGATAGATAGATACTACGGATTTTAATAACTAGCGATATATCTTTTTCTTTCACGTTCCATGTCCTTTCAGAGCGTTGGTGAACATGATTCTCCACAACGTCCTGACCTTTGTTGCTTTTAGCAATGTTTGATTTTTAACCCCCCTCCCACTCCCTTTTCTCCCATCCTTTCACGCAAGCTTGTCAAATAGATTACTCGCTGTTTCCTTCTGTCCATCTTTACTTCAATGTTGTCATATGTGTGTTCAATTTTCCAAGCCTTCTTTTCTCATTATACTCTTCTTATTAACCGCTCGTCTTCCACACCCTTGATGAGATTGTTTTTCTTCTAAATGAGTAATTCCCACCAGTAATTCGTAATGAAAAAAACATTTCGCTTTGTATTTCGTTCTGTGTAAGACGATAAACTACATCCTCGTTGTGGGTAAGATGATAAACTACATCCGCGTCCTGGGTAAGACGATAAACTACATCCGCCTCCTGGGTAAGACGATAAACTACATCCGTGTCCTGGGTATCACGATAAACTACATCAGCGTCCTAGGTATGACGATAAACTACATCCGCGTCCTGTCTATGACAATAAACTGTATCTTCGTCCTGGTTAAGACGATAAACTACATCCGCGTCCTGGGTATGACGATAAACTACGTCCAACAGCAAGGCTTCTGATCAGGAGGTTTTGAGGAGCCTGGAACCACTTCTTAATTGCTGCTGTTCCCAGGTCTACCCTGACACGGGGTGGTAACACCTGTTAGGGTCCCAGCTATGGGCAAATAGTTAACCGCCTAAAAGTTTTCCAAACACTATCATAGTATAAAAAATACATTTTAATACCAGCAATATAATTTTGAGAAAAAAATATTACCAGCAATACATTTTTGGAAAAAAATTATTGCCAGCAGTAAAAATCTTGTCGGCATTAAATAATCCATTGAGGTTGTTATGCCGTAAAACAAAACAAGCCAGATCAAACCAAACCAAAATGTCCTTATAGATAATCAAATGAAAGGATTATAGAAAGTGAGGGATCAGTTTTGTATTGTTCTTTAGTATTAAATAGAACCCCCATTTCTTTGCCATTTATACCGTATATACTCGCGTATGATGCGATTTTTGAAGACCTAATTTTGAGGCTAAATTTTAGGTGTTTGTCTTATACATGAGATATAAAATTAGCATATGTACTACTGACTCTGGCCACGTCATTGACCAAACTATAAATCCATTTACTGAAGTCAAATTAGATTCAAATTCAGGTTTTCACACACACAAACACATATTTATATATATATATATTTATATATATATATATATATATATATATATATATATATATATATATATATATAGGTAAAAAAATTCGTGGGTAAGTAATCCAAGTAGCTCATATTAATATAAAATATTAAAACTGATCCACAAAAGGGAACTCAATATAATTTTTTGATGTAATGAATATGCATACACCTGGGTTCCCCCTCACAGTAATGTGATTGGCTGGTGTCAGCCATAAATACAGACTGATGTGAACAGGGACGAGGCCTACTGTCTTCGCCTATTGCCTACGCCTATTGCCTACCACTACGACGAGAACCAGTCCATTACGGTTACCTGCTAGATTGTCCTACCCGGTTACAGTAGTCAACAACCAGTTGGCTACTTCGAACCAATATTTTCTTTTCCTTGACATATCACCTACTTAACGGTTTAATAATTTCTTTAATTTAATTTAATTTTATAGGACTTCATGGTAATTTTTTTAAGAAAATTTCTTCTTTTTTTTTTTTCCTTTTTAATAGCAAAGAATAAATTCTTAGAATTTCTTACTCTTGAACACACAACATACAACTGGCCACGCATAAATATTTCTTTCTAGAGACAAATTCCGACTTTTTGAAGCGTGTGGCCTTGTAATTATAATTCTTGCAAACGTAGGATGAAAAAAATAATTTAATAAAACACACTTGTTTTTAATTATTTTTTCAATTTATTTTTTAATAAGTTAAATGGAAAAATGCAAAATAAAATAAAGCATTTTTTGTTTTTAATTATTTTAATAAATTAAATCATAATTTAATTTATTCTTTAATAAAGTAAATTGAAATTCTTATTTTTTTATATGTCAATTTACTTTATTAAAAACAAATTTCTTTAAGATTTACTTTATTAAAAATAATTAAAAACAAAAAACTCGTTCATATTTTACATAATGCCTTTTAAAGAAAAATATTCACTAATTAATTTGTTAATCCTTAATAAATTACTTTTAATCGGTTATAAAAAAACTTTATGCTTTGCTGGTGCTGAGTTGTCCCGGCGTACAGTCGGCGGTGTTGAGTCGGTGGTGATGAGTAGGTTGTGTTGAGTCGGCGGTTTTGGGTTGCCCTTTACCGGCTCAGTTATATGGTCTTTCTTTGGTCAGTGTTTTCCATGTAATGGTAGGCGTCACTTTTCCGCTGTCAATGCTGCTCCAATAATAGTTAGAAAGCGCAGTATTGCCTTTTGTATTTACAGTTGGGCAGACACATTCTGTGATTGTAGCATCGATACTACCGTCACAAAATGAGTCTAATTATATATATATATATATATATATATATATATATATATATATATATACAGAGAGAGAAGAGAGAGAGAGACGAACTGGAAAAACCGAATGAAAAAGAATGTTAACAACAATACTTTTCGCACCCAACCCAGTTCTGCGGAATCAGAATCAACGTTGAGTTTAAGCAAGCGAATGAGCCAATTGGAGTAAAGTGCCATGCAAATTTAAATTTTTCCCACCTGTGACGAATGCAGCTATCTTTTTTTTTTTTTTGCGTGTCAGTCAGCTGTTGACTCTCACGCTGGCCAATAGAATCTTCCTGCCGATTTGTGGCAGCCAGCTATAGGCTCTCATTTGAGCTAGTAAAAAATGGCCGCAAACTACATGAAAACTGCCGTAGAAGCATGAAAAATCGATTATTTCCACTATCGATGGGAGTTGGGAAATGCAAAGTCGTTCTTGGCCTTCCGGCTAACTTGGATCATGTGCATATAAATCTTTGTGCAAATCCGTTGAAAATTGCGGCCATGCATTCGTTACACACACACATCTGCCTTTTATAGATAGAGATATAATATATATATTATATATATATATAATGCATATATCTTATATATTATATATATTTTATTATATATATATATTTTATAGATAATATATATGTATAATATAACTATATCTATAGATATATCTATCTATCTATAGATAGATAGATAGATAGATAGATAATGAACTGGTATAGATAGAAAATTAACTAGGATAGATAGATAGATAGATAGATAGATATGAAATTCAAAGAAATGAACAAGTTATTTTGTCTTGAACTATTCAGTAAAAATAAAAATGGTCAGTAACGCGATGTTCTGTTTTGTCCCAACATTCCTTGGAAGCCGTTTCATTTCCGGTCTTCCGATGTCATGATAAATGACCAATATCCGGTTGACGTTTTCACTGCATCAGTTTCTTCCGTTTCAATCAGATTCGTTAAATTCTCTCTCTCTCTCTCTCTCTCTCTCTCTCTCTCTCTCTCTCTCTCTCTGACTCATTCATTCTTTCTTGCTCTTTGTGTGGTTTCAATTTTAAATATTCTTCCTTCTTTTCATTTTTATTCTTCTCTTTTTCGCCACTCTTCTTGTTTCGCTCTTTTTCAGTCTAATGCTCTCTCTCTCTCTCTCTCTCTCTCTCTCTCTCTCTCTCTCTCTCTTCTACGCATTTCCCTACTTTATCTCCTTTATCCTTTTTTTCTTCTTCTATCTCTCTTCTTTGTCTTCTTTTTCCTTCCTCTTTCCTCCCCTCACGACGCTAACTTCTTTCTCCTCATTTTCTTTTTTTCAGCACCCCCCACATTTCCAACATTTACCCTTTTTCCTCTTTTCTTCTTTTTTTTCTCTCTTTTCATTCTTTTTTCTTCCTTTTTTTCCCCCCCCCCTCTCTTTTGCTTTTCGTCCCCCCTCCTGTATCTCTTTTCTCTGCTCTTTTCTCTCTTTCATTGCTCAGTCATTTTCTATCTCTCCTTTCTCTCCCTCCTCCCTCTCTCTCTCTCCATTCATCTTTTCCTTTTCTCATCCTTCTTCTCTCTTTAGAATTGTTATTGACATTTTGTTTTTATTCCTAAAAGCGCCAGTCTGCGTAAGTTCAGTCGTTACTTGGCGTTTAACTTGTTTAAACTAAGAAAATATACCAGACGTCTGCCAAAAAGCAACGACTAGCGCGCCATTTATGCAGAGCTTTCAATAAGGAGCCCCATAACAGCAGTCTTTTTTTTTTTTTAACGTTTCACCCCAAGCAAGGCGGGAAGCCACTAGCACGCAAGAGGTTACAGAGAGTTGGAGCGAGAACAAAGAGGAGTGATAGAGGAAAAGGTGAAGAGAAGGATAAGGGATAGATCAAGGCATCTGGAGTCGTCAATTGACATTACATTTGAATAGTTGGAGATTATAGTTATTATTACTCTTGCCAATATTGACAGGGGCGTCCTTCTTTGCCTATTGTTTCGGCTAGTGTAGAACATCAGTATTTTAATTATGTCATTATTTTCTCTTCGAGTTAACTGTGCTAACCATTTTAGCTGTTGCTGCGGTTGGTACTCCACGTATTTCTGTTATTTTGGTACAGTTCTTTGTTTGTGGTCGTGTGGCGCCAGTCCACGAGGTTTGAGGAAGGATGTTAATCGCACAGGCTTGCACGCTTCACTCGCTCGAAGCCATTTTTAACCAATGATGTAAAAACGCGGTTGCATATAGCCGACAATTGAGATATTGATGAACGGGTATAGCGCCTTGAATGACATCCATATGAAAGTATTTATCTGATGGAATTATTTAAGAATATGACTCGCGTTTTCAGGGTAATCTTTTGGTTGCGTAGCAGCGCGTGGTGTTAGGCGAAACTACTCCTAACAAAGCCTATTCTATTTTCAATTTGTTTTGTAACCAATCCATACACTACGTTATATTATAATGCTTTTAAAGGTTGCATAAAATTTTTCTTTGACATTTATTTCAAAATAGTGCTTCTGACGTCTGACATCTTTTTTTTTTCTAAGCCGTTTCTTTCTCTTCCGGTTATGTAGTTATTCATTGAATAATGCTCTGAGAAGGATTTATATGCCATAGCTTTTCGTCGTTCAGACATTTATGCATTTTTTTTTCATGTATTCTTTCTTTCAGTTCTTTCCTTTTTTTTTTTTGCTTTTTTTTTTTTGCCTTCGACCCTTTCCCTTCTTTTGTTCTCTTGTTACGTCTGTCTTCATTCATTTCTTTCGTTCATTCTCTCTTTTTTTCTCTCCTTCCACTCTTCTTTTCTTTTTCTTTCTTTTCTTCCTTAGGTCCCCTTCTTTCTTTCATTCTTTCATTCTTTCTTTCTTTCTTTCTTTCTTTCTTTCTTTCTTTTGTCCTTTCTCTCTTCATTCCATTTTTTCGTTCTTTCTGTCCTCTTTCTCTCTTTCTTCTCTTCCTTTCTTTTTCTTTCTTTTCTTCCTTCTGTCCTCTTCTTTCTTTCTTACTTCCTTTCTTTCTTTCATTCTTTCTTTCTTTCTTTCTTTTGTCCTTTCTCTCTTCATTCCATTTTTTCGTTCTTTCTGTCCTCTTTCTCTCTTTCTTCTCTTCCTTTCTTTTTCTTTCTTTTCTTCCTTCTGTCCTCTTCTTTCTTTCTTACTTCCTTTCTTTCTTTCATTCTTTCTTTCTTTCTTTTGTCCTTTCTCTCTTCATTCCATTTTTTCGTTCTTTCTGTCCTCTTTCTCTCTTTCTTCTCTTCCTTTCATTTTCTTTCTTTTCTTCCTTCTGTCCTCTTCTTTCTTTCTTTTCTTTCTTTCTTTCTTTCATTCTTTCTTTCTTTCTTTTGTCCTTTCTCTCTTCATTCCATTTTTTTCGTTCGTTCTGTCCTCTTTCTCTCTTTCTTCTCTTCCTTTCTTTTTCTTTCTTTTCTTCCTTCTGTCCTCTTCTTTCTTTCTTTCTTTCTTTCTTTCGTATCTTCTCTCTTCATCCCATTCTTTTTGTCCTTTTTCTTTCCTTATTCTCTTCCTTTTTTCTTTTTTCGTTCTTCTTTCTTTCTTTTTGTCATTCTCTCTTCATTCTATTCTTTCGTTCTTTCTGTCTCTTTCTATCCTTCTTCAGTTCCTTTCTTTCTTTTCTTCCTTCGTTCCTCTTCTTTCTTTCTTTCTTTTGTTCCTTCTCTCTTCATTCCATCCTTTTCATTCCTTTCTTTCGTTCTTTCTGTCTTTTTACTCTTCTTCCTCTCTTCTTTTCTTCCTGCCTCTTTCTTTCACACTTTTCTCCCTTCTCCCTTCCTTCCTTTACAATTCTCCCCCACATCCTTATACAGCCCTTCGTTCCTTCTCGTTTCTTTCTTTCCTTCTTTCGTTTTCCTATTTTTATTTCTCTCTTCTTTTTCACTCATTCCTTTAATTTTTTTCTTTTTATTCGTTCGTTCTTTTTTTCATTCTTTACTAACTTCTTGCATTCTTCTTATTTTTCTATCTGCTTTGCTTCTTTTATTCATTCCTGTTGTCTTCTTCGTTTCTTCATTCGAATCCATCTTTCCTTCCTACGTGTTTTCCATCTTTTATTCATTCCTGTTGTCTTCTTCGTTTCTTCATTCGAATCCATCTTTCCTTCCTACGTGTTTTCCATCTTTTATTCATTCCTGTTGTCTTCTTCGTTTCTTCATTCGAATCCATCTTTCCTTCCTACGTGTTTTCCATCTTTTATTCATTCCTGTTGTCTTCTTCATTTCTTTTCGAATCCATCTTTCCTTCCTACGTGTTTTCCTTCTCCTTTCTTTAATTCTCTTTCTTTCTCTCTTTTTTCTTTTCTGCTTTCTTCACCTCCTCTTTTTTTCTCTCCCGTGCTTCCTTACTTCATTCATTTTTTCCTTCTCCCTTTTTTTCAAGATTATCTCATTCTTTTCTGCCCTACTTCATTCTTCGCTTATGCTTTTGTCTTCTTTACACCTTCCTTCATTTTCCTTCATTCCTTCTTGCTACCTTTTTTCCCGCCTTCATCTTCTCTTCCTTCCTTCCTTCCTTCATTCAGTCCTTCATTCTTTTCATTCATTCCTTCATTCTTTTATTTATTCTCGACCCCTTCTT